AACTTTCAAAAATCCGTTCTGACAAAAGTTTTCTCTGATCGAGACCTTTAAAACAAAAAAAAATATTGGTAATAGCTCGCAAAATGAGGGAGGAGTTCCAATTTTTCTGACTGAAAGTCATGTTCTGAGAAAAACCTTAAAGAAGTTTTAGAAGTGGTTTTTTCCGGCCAAGATCAAAAACCTCATATAAAAATGGCATATTTTCAATAAATTTTCTAAAACTATTTCAAGGCGCGTTAAAGATGCAGTAAAACTAACGCCATCTGACATGAGAGTTATAATATCAAAATGTTCGATTCAATGCTAATTGAAGTGGTAACGGAATTTTTCCAAAACTGAAAAACTTTAAAAAACCACAAAAAATTCTCGGAAAATATGTTACGGAAGTTAAAGTTTGATCTGACAAGTCTTTGAAAAACGGATTATTTTCCAAAAAAACTATAAATATTCCGAAAGAGAAAGCTTCACTCTATCTTCCCGTGGTAAAAGCTCAATTTCAATATTTCTTGGAAAAACCAACTTTCTGAGGGGGCCTTAAGTAGTGCGTAAGAAAATCAATATGAATCACCGTATGAGATCAATATTCACTGATCTCAAGAAAAGAGCATATGTTCAATTCATAAAGAGAACCTATATAGAAAACATATCTGGGAGACTAGCATAAAAATATAGAATGTCTCCAAAACTTCCAATGAAAATACCGATATTTAAACAGACCCACACGCACTCGTACCCACATTCACATCAGCACCCGCGCACTGTTGTTCTCTGTAATTTCTCTTCTACAAACTCATTCTTCCTAATATCTCTCTTGTATCCTCTTATTTCTCTCTAATTCCTCGCTTTTCTCTCTAATTCCTCGCTTTTCTCTCTTATTCCTCTTCAGTACTCTCTTTTTTTTCTTTTCTTTTCTTGTATATGTCTCTTATTCTCGCTTGTTTTTTCTTACCCTCTCTTATCTTCTCTAATTTGTCTGTGATGTTCTTTTCAGCTTGCGACAAGAAAACAACAAAGTATTCTTTTATACGATCCTCCCTTCAATCGAGGGAATGATTAGTCGATAAACCAGGGTCGATAATTCCTGACTGACCCGTTATTCAGAGTAAATAATATGATTCATCGACAACTTAGGACCGAAAAACTATGATCGGGTGGTATGTTGGGCAGAAAGAATTATTTGATGATCTTGTGTTTGCTTGACTTTGATTTTCTTTTAACTCGGCACAAACTGATGGAGCCACAACTGCTTTTAATTTTTCCCGTATCGCCCTCCCTTCAGTCGAGAGACTAGATCAAAGTGCCATTTAGAGCTTTCTCAATACAAATGTGTTAATATTGGAAGCGTGCATGATATTCCATCAAATTCTCAGATGATGAGAATGAAAGGTTTTCAATAAAAAAACAAGAAAAATATGGAGCACATTATAGTTTTTGTGTTCACAGAAGCTATCCGAACGAGAAATGCAATATCCTTATCATTCGTACCAGAAATGTCTGTGAACGATATAAATCTAGCTACAAATGATTGCTCCTACTCTTTGAAACCTACTAGGCATGATGGCAACAACACTCATATTGTAGCTAACAGATTATGACCTACGAAACCTGTATTTTATCCTGTGGAAAGCCTTGAAACGTGGTCCTGCCTGGGCAGCCAGGATCAGGCGGGTTGCGCTTATCATAAGGACTCTATTAAAAGTAGATATATTTCTTTTTTGTAAAGTTATGGAAGCATTCCACGACACATTTGCAAAATATTTGACTGTGCACAATCAATTTCTTCCATTCTGCTTCTCTGTTTCGTGTTAAGGTTGTAACATTATTTTTTTTATTTATAAAACACTGATAGAAAGCGTAGTTTTAGTTTCGAAGTGAAAATTTCGAGTAATATGTAAAACATTGATGGTGTTTCAATAGTCGGTTTAATCAGAATGAATTTTCAAAAAATTACTCGTACATGAAATATACCAATAATACCAAGAAAAAACAATAATGGTACCCGCCGAGATTAATGGATAATTTAATATACTAATCAAGCGATATAAAAAAAAGTTATCTTAGTTTTCTTAATCTATATGACACGGTGATGTCGTCTTCTGATATTCTTTCTTTCCAGATAAGGCCTTTCCGTAGTAGAAAATCATAAGGATATCAGTATTGTACGAATTCAAGGGCCATGCTTGTATTTCACTTTCAAGTTTATAAAAACATACATGGACACACATGCAGCAAAAAGCTAATCAGCATCTTTGAGACTTCCGACATAGGTCACAGCTGCACCCATTTTCTTTGTCCCTCAGACTGCCAATCAAGAGACCATAAACACTTAAGAATTTCATTTGAATGTGCTATTTCGACCATCCTACCTTGATACTAAAAAGCTAACTCATTATAGCCGAAGTTAGAAGAAATGTCAAATTGAAATACATGTTGCACTCCTCATCGTCCTGTACCTCTTTTCCAGTTTTATCCGACTAAAAATTGATAGAGCGTGAAAAGCGAAATATATACTTCGATTTTGATGTCCAAAAAAGGCTACTTTCGTGCTGAAAATCAAGTATTCATGGGTAAATCCCATGGAAACAGACAAATTTTGCCACGTTTCAGAGCTTCTGACTATGTTTTACAAATTTTCAAATATTTTTGTGGTTATCAACTATGAGAACTCAAAGGACTAACCCAATGATTCCGATTTCACGTTACAATAACAGTGGTTTCCCAAAATGTTGTCGGGACAATGTGCTATGTAATTTTTAAAAAAACTTTATTTCAGCAAAGAAATGATCACTTTTTTCCAAAATCTACATTTTTTTCTACTTAACACGCTCTTAGTCGTAGAGAATACAGAAATTTCGGTTAGAAAGATGTTTCCGGCTATATTTGAGTGAATCCAAATTCAAGAAATATCCCAATAATGAAGGATACAGCGCATAGAGCGGTTAGGACTATTGCAGGAATAAAGGGATTTCGAGAACTCGCATTATAATATTCTTAACCAGCACCTATAAATCTACCACTACACCTAATTTCGACGTGTGACAAAAAAAATTTTTTTTTCATGATACCTGAGGGGGACCTCAGGTTCAAAAATCATGAATATCGATTTTCGAGGAATCATGTTGAGAAAAGTGATCAGAAACACTCGTCCTTTCTTTGAGTCAGAAAACGCTCACGCTCATGAGCGCTCATATGAGCATGAGCGACAAACCGCTCACGTGAGCGTGAGCGTGAGCGGTACAGCCCTAATTGTAACCAACCCAAAGTATTAAAGAAAATTTCTCGATGCAAATGATTATGTTGTTTGTCTTCATAAGCGTTGCTAGAATTAAACTTCTTTTCATGTAATGGGCCTCGTGCATAGACACTCATGCGTGCATGAGTTATCCAATGCCAGAAGGAATAGCATACAAATTCACAAGTTAAATTGAAGAGAACAACACGAGATACCCATTGGACTTTCCACTCTTGGGCGTGCGGGAACGTTCGAGGAAAGAGCCAAAGCCAACAGATTACAGCAACACTGAATTCAAGTGCATGAGCCAAATGACACCAGATAACACAGTCGAATGCTTTACGTTGCCAGTAAGACCAATGTTTATAAGCTTTCAGTATCGAGTAGTCCTTGTGACCGGTGTGAAGACGATGAATACCAATAATGTTATTTAAGCCAAATGTCATGATGATACGATTTTGGGTGAAGAAAAACTCAAATACCACTATAACAGTTTAAAACAAATTTATATTTCATTTCAAAGTCTGTCATGTCTTTTGAATGAGAATAGAGATACTTCAAAAGCCTGAGTACCTATGCTGTCCTGAATTTATTCAAGTTCTACATTTTGTTAATTAGCTAATAGAATTGGACCCATTTTCCTGCCTATACACGGATACAGGCGCCTACTAATTGTTTCATCATGAATGAGCTGCATATCAGATACAAAATTCAAAACTCTATTTTTAATTCGTACCCTTTCCTAATGTAAATAGTTTATAACGAGCATGTCTTGATATTGACAGACTTTACCTACTAGGTAATAGTTTCTCTAGGTCTTACGTCAATATAGATAAGAGTATTTGTTGTATTTGGCTATTCTTATCCTGCAATAATACACAAGCCACCTGTCTTGTATAGTCAAACAAAAAGGATGTCGCTGGACAGATGATGAAAGCATCTCTCTTGTAAGGGTGTGAGTGTGGGTGTGGGTGTGGTTATAGATAGAACACACTCACACCCACACCCACCGATCCACACCCACACCCCACACCCACCCCACACCCACCCCACACCCACCCCACACCCACACCCACACCCACACCTACACCCACACCCCCACCCCACACCCACACCCCACACCCACACCCTCAATAATAATCGTTTCTTTTTCTATTTTAGATTGGTTGCGACGATACAAAATTATACTACTCAACTCAACTCAACTCAATACAAGACAAGACAAGACAAAAATAAAATGTAGGTATCAGTTTTAATTTTTTTAATTTTTTTTGTTATTATTCTTATGATCATATGAAGGGGTAGTAAGTCCTTCTATGATCTCTATCATATGTTTTCTTTTTTATTTTAGCTTTTCATCATCGAAGAAATTATACGAATGGTAAGTTATTATTTTTTGTTTCGAGTTGAGTTGAGTTGAGTTGAGATGAGAGTGTAGTGAGGGGTGGGTGAGGTTAGGGTTTCGTCATATAGGAAGGACTTCTGGATAGTCCCTAAAAGCCCAGCCAGGAACGGTTCTGATATCCGTGGCAACACGATTGGGCCCTAGGCTCACGGACATATGTCATCGATGGATGCATGTGGATGATGTGAGTCTTCCCACGCGTGCACGAGCGCTACACTCGCTACAGCTCCACCAGGGTCGTTCCTGGTCGCGCGCGAGAATAGAAATAAATTGCAATGCAATTTTTTTCAATGAAACAAAATTTATTCGAAAGCAGGAAAGAAAAAGAACAGAACAGAAAAAATTAATTCATACGAATTGAGTTTATTTGAGTTCAAATTTTTGTACTCGACAATTTCCGCTCTCGACGGCATAGAGATTACCATGTCGATCGAAGGATAAACCTCTGGGATAATAGAGTTGATTCGACTGCGATCCAGAACCGTTTCCACCAATAATGACAGTTCCTTGTTTGGCACCTTTTGGCCAACGCATAATTCGATGATTATGACAATCAGCCACATAGACAGTACCCAGTTGATCGACAACGATTCCTTCAGGACCATCCAATTGTGTAAGACTATTTCCTTGTCCTTGACCACCAGCTACAACAATGCCTTGTTTTGAACCTTGTTCCCATTTTGTGACTCGATAATTTCCAAAATTAGACACATAAACTGAATGTTCTCGATCAACAAAGACGTAGCGGGGAACAGGGAGTTGATTGAGACCATTTCCTTGTCCATTACCACCTGCAACTAGTGTCCCTTGAGTATCACCAATTTTATATCGTCTTACTTCATGTTTTTCATAGTCAACGACATAGAGATAACCATTGTCATCCATTGTTAAACCGAAGCAATCGATATTTGAAATAATTGTTTCTCCACGAGTACCATTTCGACGAGGCCATCGAACTACTCTTCTATTCAATCGATCGTTGATGATGAGACTATCGGTTTCTTTGTCGATAATCACATCTGCTGGGAAATTTAATTGATTAGCTCCGTTACCTTTTCCATTGCCACCAGCAACTACGGTGCCATTCGTTGCACCAGATTTCCATTCCATAATACGATCATTCCACGAATCAGCAACATAAACCGTTAGATTGTCGTCGACGTATAAAGCCCATGGATGATAGAGTTGATTGGTGTTACTGCCCGATCCATGTCCTCCAGCAACAGTGATACCATTATTGGGCCATGTTGCATTTGGATGAATATCAATGGTATTTGCACGCATTGGTGGTACTAAAATGAAACGAAAAGGATTTCATTCAAAAATAAGTTTTTCATATTTGTTGATAATTCTTGAAAATATTTTGTATTTTAACTGCATAGAATCAGAAAGAACTAGTAAAAATTAGCAAATTTCAAATGAAATTTTCATTTTATATCCAATAGTAATGCTAAAAACTTTGACTAGATTTTGCAATGAAAATGTTTAGGAGATCAACATAAGTATTCAGATATATGAGATCTCGAAATGGATTCATACGTGATCTTAGATTTTTACTTGAGATGTGGAACTCGATTTTGAACATCAATGGAGAACTTAGCGCTCAAAAAAACTTAGAAAATGCCTAGAGATTAAAAAACTCTGAGTTTTAATGCTAATTTTAATTTCTAAAGCAACTTTTGAGAAGATCATCTACCATCCTAAAAGTAACATGTAAAATGCTGAATTCGTTATCTGAAATGCTAAAATTATGTTGAATGATGCTGAGAGTATCATCTCAGTTCGAAGCAGATTTATCAGAGATGCTAAAAGCATAATGTAGGATGTTAAAATTTTTATCTAATATACGGGAAACATCATCTCAGATGCTACCTGTATGCTTCAGGACGATGAGAGGATTTTCTAATATATTCAAACTATGCTAAAAGCATCATCTTAGATGGTACAAGTGGTATCCAAAATGTTAAAGGCTTTATCTAAGATAAAAGCACCATCCGACATACGAGAAGCATTATCTAAAATACTAGAAGCAAGGGGGAAACGGCGGATTTTCGGGATTTTGAATCCCAATAAAAATCTCATGTGAATTTCAGAATTAAGATTGAAATGATTAGGATTTTATGATTATTTTAAAGGACAAGTATACACGAGTAAGTGTAATCCCATGACTACCCGACTTTTTCTTATAAAAATGGTGCGCATTAAATCTCTTCAATTTAATATTAATTCATGGACAAAGTTGAAAATAGTAATGTTCTGTACCACTACTAAGAGTGCTTAAGTGTTCTAACTGGAAAATCAAGAAACGTCAAGAATTATATTTTGCCTTTGATATATCCTTAAAAAGACAATATTGAAGCTGATTTAAGTATCATATTATTGTCGATGAACATTTCCATATTATTTAAAATCCTCTTTCGAAAGTTTATATTGTTTTATGTATGACAATACAGAAATACAGGGTGGCCCAAAAGTCATGTTACCCAAAAAAATCTAATATCTCCCTTACGGCTCGAGCAAAGAAGCTGGTTTTTTTATCAATGATAGAGGTATCTCCAAGCGTTATATCTATATGAACAAGGTCAGAAACAACCTATGTTAAGTAGCACTAATGAACTGAACAAAGGAAATTTTATTTTTCCACAAAGAGAAAAATACAAATTACAATAGAGAAAGGACAGTTTTCTCAGATAAAGCGTGATAAACGAAACGGGCTTGCGAATAACACGTGTTGTGTATTCGTATATCTCTTTTGTCTGCGTTTTTCTTTCTGTTCTATTATACTTCACGTTAAAACTACACTCGATATAAGTCTTTTTTTCGGTATTGTTGGTCATATTCAGTTATTGTCTCTGTCTACGTGTTTTGTATATTCTCGGTAAGACATGTTCTTCTTTGTTTACATTTTCCATTGTATACTCATTTCGCAACTCTTACTTCGAGCACATGTGTTTATAGATGCCGAGAACTCTGACAAAAGAACAAAGAATTTTTGTCCTCAAACAATGGTGGATATCAGGAAAAATATCACAAACAGTAAATGCGGCTTTTCGAAATGAATTTCCTGACGAAAAAGTTCCAACTCGTCAAACAATGTCTCGACTAGCAAAAAAATTTGATGAGACAGGTTCTATCGAAGATGAACCACGAAGTGGCCGACCAATAACAATTAGGACAGGAGAAAATAGGCAACTTGTATCTCAAACTTTTCTTTTGAATCCACGAACATCACAAAAGCGTGCATCAGATGATCTTCATATCTCACGCACAAGCTTACAACGTCTTATGAAAGATCTAAATTTAAGAGCATACAAACCAAGATTATTACAAGCCTTAAATGAAGATGATCCTGATCGGCGAGTTGAATTTTGTGAATGGATCTTAGATTCAACTCAAGATGATCAAACTCTATTGGATCAAATTCTATGGACAGACGAGACTACGTTCAAAACAAATGGTCATGTCAACAGACATAATTGTGTTTATTGGAGCGATACAAATCCACATTTTATCATCGAACAAGAGCTCAATGTACCACAAGTTATTGTTTGGGGAGGAATATGGTCAAACGGGGTTATCGGACCGTTTTTTTTTGAAGGTAATGTCACATCAGAAAAGTACCTTCAGATGTTGAAGAACAATATAATACCACAACTTCGAGAACATTCAGCCTTTCAAACAATGATCTGGCAGCAAGACGGTGCACCACCTCACTATGGTCAAATTGTGCGAGATTATTTAGATGATACATTTTTACAATGGATTGGTCGTCGAGGAACTGTTGAATGGCCACCACGGTCTCCGGATCTTACTCCATGTGATTTCTCACTATGGGGAATAATAAAAGATCGTGTCTATGCTCAACAACCTCGTGATGTGAATCATCTAAAATTATTAATTGAGCAAGAATTTACATCGCTCAATAATAACATCGAATTATGCCAAGCAATCTGTCGTTCTGTAGCAGATCGTTGTCACATGTGTATCAATACAGAAGGCAAACAATTTGAACATTTACTTTAAAATATTGCCCATTTTCTATTGACAAACTGTCCTTTCTCTATTGTAAATTGTTTTTTCTCTTTGTGGAAAAATAAAATTTCCTTTGTTCAGGTCATTAGGGCTACTTAACATAGGTTGTTCCTGACCTTGTTCATATAGATATAACGCTTGAAGATGCCTCTATCATTGATAAAAAAATCAGCTTCTTTGCTCGAGGCGTAAGGGAGATATTCAATTTTTTTTGGGTAACATGACTTTTGGGCCACCCTATATGAGCTTTATTCAATTAGATGACATAAAATACATTCTACAGATATGATTTATGGAATCCAAAAATGATAATAACAATATTAGAGTTACAAATCTAACTAATTGTTTGTATGAGGCTATTCTCAATTGTCAAGAAATTTTCAAAATAAGATGTGTTCATATTCAGCATACGGAATGAGTTAAGAATTTATCCAGAAGTAGCTGACCTCTATTTTCTCCAGTTGTCTTCGTGCATTAATTACTTTTCAGCGTGAGTTTATCTGAATATTTTAAAAATTAAAATTATCTAAATGGTATGCTGATGATAATTCTCTTTATTCTGAATTTCATATTTATAAATGTCTTTTCAGAACCTTTCTTTTGACACTTCTATCTTACCGGCTGATACCCTAGCAAACAAATATTTTCAAAAACGCGTTTAAGTGCATTTTCATCTAGGACACTATTGTAGAAACATATGAACGCATAGAAAGAAGGCGAAACGCAGTTGTCTTCCCGATCGTAAACTGTAATCACAAATCCTTTCGTTTCCCAATGAGAAGATTTTTACAAAGTGGTAGAAAATATTGCTGGATCAGTCGAAGTTAAATTGCTAGAAGCTCAAGGAATTCGAAGTGTATATTTGTTTCTCAACATGGAAGATGTATCTGGTATTCTTTCAATTTGATGCTCAGCCTTAAACGATATTAAAAGAGTTGTTTTGCTTTGAAGCCAATGATTATACTTACACAATGAAATACAGGTTGTTGTGATAGTATTCGATACCTTTATCAACTTCTCTATCAAAAATACAAAGAAAATCTCAAAACCCTGCACCCCTAAAATCGATCTCAGCCCAGGAGTAAATTTTCAGCTCGTTATCATGATTTTTACCCAAAATACTAGCCAAACAAGGCTGAAAAATAGCAAATTTAGTTTCCCAAAATTCTCGGTCCAGGTCTATAAATGTTTATATCAGGGCTCCGCACGGGATGGGATGGGACGAAAAAATCGTCCCATGGGACCAAATGTTTCGTCCCATCCCATCCCATCCCGTGGGATTTCCAAAAAACAAATCTCATCCCATCCCATCCCATGGGATCGACAATTCATCCCATCCCATCCCATGGGTCCCATGGGACGAAAAGAATATAAAAAGACTTTTAAAGACTTGAATCAATTCCCATAACTTCCTTATTCAATCGTCTCAGTTTCCTTCTATCTATTCCCAATTAGATCTGTTTATTTGACATTTATTTTTTATATCAACCACAAATCCTATTCAGTTGCTAAACAACAGGCTTAGGAGCTGATGAATTTAGAATCTTAATGAACTTCAACGAATACCGTAGTAAATTTATTGCAGTTTATTGAGATATGTTTCAATTTATTAGACTTCACAAAATTCAGGATTCATTTTTTCGTAAAATATCTGAATTCTATGGCGCTAAGCGTCAGAAAATAAACACGCTTTTTTTGCAGTGCATTTTAAAGATTGTTTAAGACCCATCCTTTTTTGGTGCAATCCAAACGACTATTTTCATTCTCAGTTGACTGATCATTTCTGTAATGGTTGAGACCCAGTAAAACTCATCAGAGTTTTCTGAATATTCATTGATTTTTCTTTTGACTAAAAGTAGTTTAAACTTATGTTGGAAGATCATTTAAAGTAGAAATAATTTAGAGTCCTCATGAATAGAACTACGACAGTTCGAAAACAGTTCAGGTGAACTAAACTGAATTGGAGCTGTCGCAGTCCTACTCATGAATACGGCTTCTTATCCAGGTAATTAATAGTTATGACGGCGGATATCAACAACTTTGAGTAGCTTAAAGCACGCAGATTTTCTAATTTTAATTTTAGGGAGCATTATTTAAATTTCACTAAAAATATTACAAGTTTTTGCACAAAAGAATACAACAAGAAACTAAGAAACAAAATCGTTTGTGTTGAAAAAGAAGGCCAACTATGGAAATATAAGAAATATTACGACTTATTATTCTTGCAAAGTATTTTGAATCCATTATTTCAACCAGAAAGACACTATTTTCTCAAAAGAAAAAAAGATGAGAATCCCATGGGACGAGAGATTCATCCCATCCCATCCCATGAGATATTTGAAGAAAAAAATTGTCCCATGGGATGGGATATGATGGGATGGGATGGGATGGGATTGTCCCATCCCACGCGGAGCCCTGGTTTGTATATATATATAACTAAAAGAAAGCTTAATTCAAAAAAAGGACACTGTCAGTCTTTGTGCCTTGACACGCGCTCTTTCGAAGAAAAAAGATGTAAGTAAATACATTGAATGAATATTAACCGAGAAATTTGGGAAACGAGCTCGAGAAACTATAAATGGAGAAAAAATGAAAAAGATATTTTGTTTTCTCTGAAAATAGCTTATTTTTTTCGAATAGGGGTCACCAAAATCTTCAAATTGTTTTCGGAAAAAAAAGAGGTATTGAAGAAAAATTTCTCTCGTCTATGTAAGATCTAAACACAGGCTATCTTTATCACCCGTGAAAAAAAATTATGTTCTTCGAGAAAATTGTCAAGATCTTTCTGAAACTGAATTACTATCAATTGTTCCTCAAGCAAAGGAGAAAAGGTTAATTTCTGGAATTGTCAATTCATGAAGGATCCCAAAAGGATTCAGAAAATCCTTAAATTCACAGCAATGTCCTCTTATAAATGAAAGAATTTCGAGCTGAAATTTCCAGCATATGTAGAGCTTTTGATCCTTAAAATATCCTAAAAGTTTCAATGCAAACGGATGTTTCCTTCTCAAGATAATCAACGTCCAATAAAAGTGGATTTTTTGACCAAGATGTGAAATATAAGTATTTCTTGCGATCGTTTAATTGTCAGAAGATAACATCCGTTGGTACTGAAACTTCTAGAATATTTTAAGAACCACGACGCCTACATATGGAAAAATTTCGGCTCGAAATTTCTGTATTTGCAACAGGATATTGATATTGAATTTTGGGATTATCAAAATCCCAAAAATCCGCCGCTTCCCCCTTGGCTAGAAGTGTCATCTGGAATACCAGAAATATCATCAGGGATGCTAGAAGCATCGACTGAGTTGTGTGGGCATCATCAAGGATTCAAAATGCCCCATTTTAGATGCTAACAGCATCATTTCAGCCACTGAAACCACCAGTAAGAATGTGTGAAGGTTAAACTATGGTACTAAATGCATGAACGAGGATGTTGAAAGGATGATATATGTTGCTTAAAGCATCATCTAAGATTCGAAGTGCAAGGTCAAAGTGATGTAGAAAATGATAGTTTTCTGTACGTGTGAGCCTCTTCTTTTTCACAGGTAAAGTTTTTATGAAAAACATGATAGTACGACATATACGTTTTTCACTGACATGCCTATGATAGTCGAAAGAAAATACGAGGGTCTGAGCCAATTTTCGTTCTTAAATAATACGAGAAAACAATGAGAAATGTATGATATAGGTATCAATAGAGTTAAAATATGGTAATCAATATCTCTGGAGTTTCAAAAAAAATAGAGGGAAAGAAGAAATATTCACATTAATTTGTCTGAGAGGAAAGAAATGGTTCATAACTACGTTAAAATGTATGTATGAATCGATCAATAGGAGACTTAGTAATATCGAATGTGAGTTTGGAACGAGAAGCAGAAAAGAATTCAATGATATCATATTCAAGTGAGATTTTGTTGTGGCGAATGAACAAAGCCTCTTGGAAAGTTCAATGATGACATTTTATGCTGCTGAAATGATCAATTTTTTATATCTAACATTAATTATAAATAACTTAAAATTCAAATATTTTTTATGCGATAGTGACAATTGTGATATCACCTTATTATTATTAGTATTATGAAATGAACAGCAATCATATACACTATCAGGAAGGAAAATGAATGAAATTTAAATAATTGTTGAATGAGCACAGTGTCAATCTAGTCCTATTCTGCATAATTCATTAAGTAAACAGGAGTTCGTAGCTAAGAATATTCTGAAATAGGTAAAAATATCAACGATAACTATTGCAGGAAAATTAGAGAAAATAGTTGAATAAAAATTGACTCGTACTTAACAGATTAAGTATACATTTTCACAGCAGCTGATTTCTACAAATAGATCGAAATTTATTTAATCAACTTTATGTAAACTGTCACTGAAAAAATGCAACAATAAATAAATATGTCTCGAGTAAAAACAAAAATAAAATAGATACGACATGTAACTGAAATATGATCATATATGTTTTTTTTTGAAACTATATATTGAATAGACAATTATTTAATCGACATTCGATAAATTTTGAAACAAAGGTTGAACTACATACATTTACAATATTAATGGTATTGAAATACTCCAAGTATAATTCGATATATGGTTAAGACTTCTATTGTATTGTGTAAATCATACCTCTCTCCCACTGTAGGAATTAAAACAATTAACTCTCTTAATTTTTTCAGTCGATTTTATTGATTTGAAATAATCTCTGATAGAATTAATCAAAACATGTAACTGATTATTGATTACCTTAAAAAAAAGGAACTTATTTCGACTTCTCTAAATACAATAAATGCATGTCTTACATACATTTATATGATTTGTTGTAAGTCAATAATAACCTTTAAACTTTAAGGAACAATGAATTCTGTTTTAAGCCCCGTCAAAAATCGGTGATTTGACAATTAAAAAACAATTCGAAAAAGTGCTGTCAATTTATATAGATGCATATTTATATAAGAGTTTTAGATTTGCCAAAAAACCGC